ATCCAGCTTATCGTCCTACAGGGATGTCCTACTAAGGCTGTCATACCATAAAAACATGAATTGGGTTTACATAGAGAGGATAAGGGACGACATCAGAAAATCAATGAAGGATAAAAAACTTAATTCAAATAGTTTTTTTTTTGGGGGGGGGGGTCAAAATTGCTGCAAGTTTTGTTTAATTTACATCGATTTTATATATATCCTTATTGGTCAATCAATTTTTCCCAAATTAAGTTAAGAAGGGAAGGGGGGGGGGGGGGGGGGGGGGGTAGGGGGTCAGTGAAAAAAACTATATGAATTAAGTTTTTTTTTATCCTACATTGAACTTTTGATGTAGTCCCTAATGTGCAAAAAAATAGATAAGGGGCGGGACCAAACCTATAGATAACATAATAAAGAAATGATGAAATATACAGAATACGTTGATTGACTTTTGGTTGCCTTATGTCCAGTGGCAAATATGTCACGCATGTTTAGGACAAATATAATAGAGATCAAAGGATAAAGAATAGAGTGAAATGGTAAAAACTAAAAGATATAGAATTATAGAAACGATCTTTGATCTGAAACCCCTACCCTCACACACACACCATAACCATTACTGTCAATACTCGCATATATACATCTCTTTACAAATATCTAAATTTGAACCTAACCCACAAAATAAACTTGTATACCCCTTCCCAATGCAGTATTGAAAAGTACTAAATATGAAGTTCACGCCTCATATAGTGAAGTCCTATGTCATAGGACTATTGTTGTAACATGGGTTAGTAACTGGTTCCAATTTATCCTGAATTGTCTTTATTAAAGAATTAGTTCCGGAGTATAACAGCTTATGTCTCTACTTGTGGGTTTCTGGTTCTGCTGTCGTAATAAGGTGATTTTTTTTCTACATGTAGTAAAAAAGAGGGGGCTTAGTCATGTTGCGCTCCCTTTTCCTATTTTCCCCTGACTTATGAATTGCTGTATTTTTCATAATGAATGAAATATGCATTTTCTTAATTTTTGTAAATAAGAATATAAATTTGTATCAATGTTTATGTCTAGATGTTTGAATAAGTACAGATGTTAAGGTTTAATATCTTTTGGGGTGTTTTTATTCTTATTGAATTTTTCGAATAGACTAATTTCCGTAGTTAAAGATATTATTTTATCATTTTCTTACATGTTGGAAGCGGGGGTATACATCACTAATCTCTGGCAATCAGGCATAAATATGACAAGCTGAATTCATGAAGCATTCCCAGAGCATGATTCCATAGAAAAATTTTCTCAGTTATCATGAGGGACTACCGAGAACTTGTCCAAAATGTCAAAAAATGGCGATTTTTTAAAATCCCCCTTTTGACCTTTGACCAGTTTTCAAAAATCTGCAACACTTTGTCACTCTACGACATGCCTTAATCAAAGGGTATTATATGTATCTCCAAAAAATAATAACAAAATTAGCCGTGAGGTATTTCGGTCCATTAATTTTTTTTAATTTACCTTACTTGTCGCCATACTATTTTAGTTACAGGTCAACCTATATAGCTATGGGATGATGAAATAGTCAGCTACAAATAACATCATGCACCAATTATTCAAACTTATGTCATGCATGTATCAATGCCTATAAACCATACTATTTCTTTAAGGATGTGATGCATCGCTGAACTACTTTCTTACTAAAAAAATCATTATGGCACTGTTTTAAATTTGTCAGGGACCTGTTATACCTTGCTTTGCTCATTGTTGAAGGCCGTACGGTGATTAATAGTTGCTGACTTTTAAGTAATTTGGTCTCTGTGGAGACTTGTCTCATTGGCAATCATACCACATATTATTTTTATATTGTAATGTAAAACAGAAATTATGACGGAAATACTTTGATCATCAAACTCAAAGACAGCCGACTACAACTTTCATTATCAGTTTATAATAATTACTGGTTTTTGTTTCGAGGATTTTTGTGTTATGCTTTAATGATATTTGGTAAAATTACTGGGATTGTCTCATAATAAAAAAAGTAGTAAACAATTAGCATTTCAAGGTAAAAGTTGCCGATAACCGTTAAACAAGATTCATTGAATTCAATAAAGATTGTTGTCGGTTTACAAGTCCTGCAGAGGTCTCCACAATTTGCCTGAGCTTTTGTCTTGCGTGCCTCCGTAAAGGTTTTCTCTCGATATGAAAATGAGGAGATGTGTTATGATTGCCAATGAGACAACTATCCACCAGAACTTAAAGGAAATGATAGTGAGCAATTATATGCCATCTTACGGCCTTCCAAAATGAGAAAACCCATACCGTATAGTTTGCTATAAAAGTTCCTGATATGAAAAATGTGAAACAATTCAAACGAGAAAACTAACGACCTAATTTATAACAAAACAATTTACGAAAAATAAATATGACAGACATGAACCAACGACAACAACTGTACTACAGGCTCCTGACTTTGGGCAGGCATATAAAGAGTATAGGTACATGACTGTGAGCCCCCGAACCCTCTTCTTACCCGGGACAGTGGTGTAACAGCACAACATGAGAACAAACTGTAAAGATCAGTTGCAATTTACTTAACTCAAAAATATCGGTACGAGACACAAAGACAACTAGCATACACACAATAGACTTAGAGCACCAAAATAAGGGTACTCGCAGTTACTGAAAGCGAGTTCAAAGCTAATTACAACTAATAGATAAATCGTGTTCTCCCAGACTAAAGTCGTCTGCTTTGCTGACTCGCAAATGGCGTGATTACGGAACGCCGATTTGGATGAATTTTATCTCACCTCACATTCAACCGAAAAATTTATCGGTGGATCAGGTCAATTTTGTCTCATCATCATGTACTGCTGTGTGTCATTTTGATGGTCTAAAAAATCATCGTAACAAATGTTTCCCTCGTTGTCAGCTTTAACTTGCGTATGCATGGCGTGGTAGTGACGATGACCGGAAAAATACAGTTCATGCGGCTCAACTTGTGTCCTATATATTTCTACAGAAGTGCCGTCTATTGCATCGACGGCAGCAGGGATATAAGGCCAAATATTTCGTTTTCCTCTCCAATTGTTCAGAGCAGGCCACTGCACGAACGACTCCAAAGCTCTTTGAAATATTTGAATACATGTATTAATTTCCGCGAGAATCGTGTCAACACTAACATGGAAAATCAACCAGAGAATACGGTATGATGAATACGACTGAAACCACATTATATACAACATGTTTCTGTGATAATCTGTTGGGTCTCCCAGTATCTTGTGACAAACGAGTCCTTGACAAGCTGCAGAATATCTATCATGTTTTCAGGGGTTTCGCCGGTTGCAAGATAAAACAAATGTCTGTGTTTAAAATATATTTTTGGTTACCGTAATTTTCAAAAATAAATACAAGAAAATAGTGATATTATAAATTTGTGCAGCTATGTGATGGACAGATTTAGATTGAAGAGTGCATTTAATATTAAATTAAGATAAAACATACATACTACAGAATAGATTAGAATATAAAACTAAGGAGATGTGGTATGATTACAAATGAGACAACTATTTACCAAAGTTCAAATGAAGTGGATGTAAGCAATTATAGGCAAACTTACGGCCTTCAACGATGAGAAAACCTCATACCGTGTAGTCAGCTATAAAAGGCCCCGACATGTAAAATATGAAACAATTCAATTGAGAAAACGAACGGTCTAATCTATATAATTACAAAATAATTTACGAAAAACAAATATGACAGATTGTATTTTCCAAATTGCAGTGCCTATAATGAGCATATAAATCAGATACAATGATTGAACTACACAGATAAAATAATTAATAAAAATAGGTTTTAGTTCATTACTCATACTAAATAGTTAGTATTTACAAAATCAAAATTCAGTCAAAACGAATTATTAAGAAATAACGTAAGACACCTCTTATTACTGGTTTCATGAAGTCTCCTAACATTTAATTGAAATCGGCAGTTTTTGTGAGAAACCAGTCAGTATTTATAATCAGAATGAATTTAACTATTATAATCCATGTACTGTAGTAAGTATATCATGCATATTTTACTGTCTAAGGATGTAAAAAATGTCCAGAGTTTAATTAAATATATTATTTTGCAAAGTTCTAGATGATATCATGCCGATTAAAACAAAACAAAATGTTCCTAAATCATACTATTATTCATTTGTTTTAACTGAACTTATTGTAAATAGTGTGTGTGTATAGTTTACATACATTTTACCTTTTACCTCCAAACGAGGGGTGTTCCTATACAGAGGAAGCTCGTTCGAAGAAAAGAAAGTTTTTATCGTTATCCACTTCAACAGAATGGCTCTATGAAACGTACCCTGTTATGTTAAAGTGTCACAAACCTGTTTGAAATATACAAAAGTTGATGGGTCCTAAATATTTCACCAAAATACTGTCATGACTACGTTTAATTTTACCGTGGTAAAATGTGTGTCATCAGCTAATTATTGTTGCCTGAATATACATGTGCATTCTTAGGCAATCAGAAAAAAATAAACTTTTCATACGTCAGCCATTTGAAATTAAATATACCAAGTCATATGTAGATTAATTTCGGGTTGTATTAATTTATTTTTACGGACAAAATTGTAGAAAATTAAAAAAAGATCAAAGTAGTTTTCCAGTTTTTCTACATTTTATTACCAAGCTTTTAACTCCACAAGGCAACAAAAGAGACGGAAGAAACCATGAGGGAAAATAAAAACTCAAAAGAGACGGAAGAAATCATGAGGAGGAAACTCGTAAGCCATAGAGAGATTGACAAAATCATGACAAACAAAAACACCAAGAAAAAAGACAAATAGACAAACAACTGTCTAAAACACACTAAATAAATGATAAAGTTTTTGGCAAAACAACCCCGCAAAACATGGGATGATCTCAAAGCTGATCTAAGATGAATTTGGCTTTAATATTCTTTTTATGTCAAATCTGGTAATGTTAGCTCTTCACAAGTTTAGGTAATTATACATCCTTGGCTTTTAAATGGTGAGGTTCAGCGTTTCTGAAGAAGGTAAATCCAAAAAAGTGCCTTCGGAAGAACCAAACCTATAAAGTGTTGTTTTCACAGTAAATTATTTACACATTAGTATGTTTGAGGGTGCTTGAGAGAAGAGGAAGAGGGCGAACATCCCTTTCGGTGCCGAAGTAAATCGATAAAGGTACATGTGGTACAAACACATTTTTATTAGTAACATATGAATAAAACAAATCTCTATAATAAACAACTTGCTACTAAATACACACATGTTGTAATTTTAAGGGTTTTTTCTTGACATGTAAGCCAGCCGAATTTGGGAAACCCCCTGAGGTGACCATAACATATCCATCTTGGAATATTGATAAATCGTTTGTGGTAGGAAGAAAAATGAAGTATTACATAAAGTGATTTATAATAAATTTATTTCAAAGTCACGATTGCGGTTTACATAATAAAAACATCTTGTCCTAAAAATTAGACACACAAAAAATTGAGCGTATTCAAATTACAATAAAAATCTATAATAATATATTCCAAATAAAATTCAACGAATGTGAATTTTTTTGTAATTTGTGACATGTTTTTCTGTCACTTTAAAATGCATTAATTTTGTTTGATACGAATTCTTTTATTTTAATTTTCCGGTTTATTGATATTTATATTGGTATGTCAACGATCGCAGTGTTTTTCATCTAGGAGAAAAGACATAATAAATAGTTTCAAGGAAGTAACTCTACATATCGTTGTTTTTGTTACATAAACAGTTTTCTGGTTATTATAACTCTTTTTATAGAGTATCATGTTCATTTTCTCTTTCAAAGCTTAAATCAGATGCAGTTAATATTAAGGTAAGAATGGCAAACGAGCTTCCGGATTCTCACAATAGTAAGCTGTCTCCTAGAATTATCTTAACTATCTTCACATTACGTGTTCTATTTTGTATTGAATCCTTATAATAAAAAGATAACTTTTATAGAGATGACGCACTGTCATAAGAGCTTCTGAAAACCATATTCTGTCGTTTCAATTACCAAATGAAAATAACTCTTTTATTAGGTCGTGGGTACGAAGCGATTTCGGGCTTTATCTTCATCAAGAAGACTCAGACCCAAACATTTGTAAGCCAAAGATGGACAAGCAAAGAGCTATACGACCTAACGATACCTACAAAATAGCCAATATAAAAATATGAAGATATGGTATTATTGCCAATAAGACCACTCTCCACCAGAGATCAAATGACGTAGAATTTAACAACTATTAGTCACCGTACGGCTTTCAACAATGAGCAAAACTCACTACACATAGCAAGCTACAAAAGGCCTACAAAAAATCATCTAAGGTCAACTTAGCTTGAAAGAATGGAAACTTTAGTTTTCTCCTTGTAAATGCTCAACGTCGCGTCAGCGCGACCCTGTTATATCCCGACGACACTAAGGGAGCTACCATTTGATTTTTATGGGGGGGGGGGGGGGGGGGGGGGGGGGGGGGGTGCTAGGATGAAAAATTTTGTCCTGCCTTTTTATTTTTCCCTCTATTCGGTCCTGCCTTTTTATTTTTTACTCTATTCGGTCCTGCCTTTTTTTTTAGTTTATCTTGACTATTTTTTTACATAAATTGTCATCCTGCCTTTTTGTTTTGCAAATAATCTTATCCTGCCTTTTTTTTTACTCAAAACTCCTGTCCTGCCTATTTTTTCAAATTTCATCCTATCCCCCCCCCCATAAAAATCAAATGGTAGCTCCTTAAAAGCTGGAAAGTTGAATTTGGAAAGTTTTTTCTACATTATCAAATTTTTACATCTTAATATTATTAAAAGGAGATGTGGGGTAAAGGTCAATGAGACAGCAACCAAAAACAAATACCCCAAAAAAACACCTTGAGGTCAACATAAATAGATACACCTTGAGGTCAACATAAATAGATACTTTTAATTTTATCAAGTTTCACATAGCTTTAGTCCCTCCGGAAAGAGAAAATTACAATGTACCAAAAATTTTCAAAAGGCAACTTCAAAAAAAAAAAAAACGTACCGATTTTCAACTAAAGAAAATGGGTACTTCACTAAAAATTATAGCAACTGTTACTTTTTGTCTTTTTTCTATAGAATATTCAAATCTCCATATAATGGTAGTCAAATGGTGTTAGTGATAAATCAAATTTACAGAATGTGAGTTGTTTTGGGGGATTTTTGAAAATTTAAAAACATTTTTTGTACATTTAGTTTTGTTCAGTAGTAGTTAAATGTACTAGCTTTCTGTACAGTAAAAATACATTGTGACCAGAGTTATGAGGGTGTGGATGGGGGTTTACAGAATAGAGAATAATGGGCAAAAAATATAAAGAATAGAGAAAATGGATAAAAAATAAAGAATAGAGAATAATGATGTGCTAAAATACAAAGAATAGAGAATGATGGGCAAAAAGTAAAAAGAATGGAGAAAAATGGACCAAAAAAAAAAAAAAAAAAAGAAAATAATGAGGTGCTATAAAAATATAAAGAATAGAGAATAATGGGCATAAAATATAAAGAATAGAGAATATTGGACCAAAAAAATATAAAATAGAGAATAATGAGGTGATAAAATACAAAGAATAGAGAATGATGGGCAAAAAGTAAAAAGAATGCAGAAAAATTGCCTAAAAAATTAAAAAATACAGAAACGGAGGACAGCCATTAGGATCCTCAATTATAACTGGTAAAGCGACCGGAAACGATAGCTAAAAACACATAGCAACCTGGAAAACAGACCTTATTGTATATCCCGTAGTGGTAACCGGTAACAGGGTGTGTGCCTAATCTGTCAAAATATGCAGTGATTAGTTGAACAATTTGTCAGTAATGATCAAGTGAAGTAATGAACAACATGGCATTGCTATTATTTAATTTCACCGTCGACGTTATGTATACATGCAAAAAATAAGTATTTAATTAACTTTGTCATATTTTTTTTAAAATGAATGTTGGATTTATTCTCTATCCTTTTTTCCTAAGATCAATGATCAGATTATCATGATCATAGAATAAAATACGAGTATCTTCAATAAAAGGGATTACACGAGAAAATATCTACCCCCAGTCCCTCGTCCTTACTTTACCAATATCAATCCAGATAGGGCCTGTATATCGTAGTGTGATTGTTATAATGTTGTAAGTCCCATTTTTCTAAGCGTTGGGAAATTGAACATGAAGTTTAAAAACGCGATATCATAAATATTTGACAGAGATATAAAACGTTATGTAGGAATTAAATTTACGGAAAGGAAGAATAACTCTTTGTTCAATTTTCTTTTGTATAGTAAAGCATCTTAAATAAATATCGCACATCCTTTTCTGGAGATAGAACACATCATTCGAATCCAATTTTAGAAACGAATCCCTATATTTCTATTAGAGATAGATCATGAATTTTTCAATTGTAAAATATCCCCAATTCGGGAATGCTTTAGTTATTTTGCGAAGAATTACTCATAGATTGAGTTCAAACCATGCAAACAATTTAAGTATTGCACTACTAAGATGATTTTAATAAGAATACAGCAAATGTAAAAAGTGGAGACACAGCACTATAAAATTATTAGTAGTTCTCTGAACTCCCAGTCTCCAACTAGATGATTGATTGATTGGTGACTGCGTTTTACGCCGCATCAGCACAAAAAGGCTATATCGAGGCGACCCGACTAGATGAATAAGCTATTATAATTCAATGGCAGTGTGGATATAGAACATACAGTCTAGTTCTGACAAAAGCTCGTAGAATGTAGAAATCCCGATACATAGGGAGATAGACAAATGCATCTGGATATCAAGTATATAACTATCTCCATTTTTAGCAAAAGTGGACATACTAGTCATTTTGGGGCCCTTTATAGCTTGCTGTTCGGTGTGAGCCAAGGCTCCGTGTTGAAGGCCGTACTTTGACCTATAATTGTTAACTTTTTATACATTGTGACTTGGATGGAGAGTTGTGTCATTGGCACTCCTACCACATCTTCTTATTTATATGTAACACTATAAGGCTCACACGACGATATGTTAGTGTGACGCTTCCCTAAGTATATGTAATACTAGGGAATAACTTCTTTGTCATATATTAATGTTTTTATCATTCGGATAATATGTTGTTGATAACAGATGTTTGATAGTCGCCGCTAAATTTATTCATATTTTGGGATTTTCTCAGTGCTATTCAGAATTTTCATATATTGTACAGACACCTGTCTATTGTTGAAGACTGGTTGTTAACCGTCAGACGATTCGATTTTGTTTTGTCTATGGGTTGCTGTCCCATTGATAAAAATCTCATATCTCCTTTTCTTCATATTTAAATGTTATTCAACATTATGTAGGCTATCAACCTATATAATAAATGGTTTACAGCTCTATGAAAAGATACAAATAGTACTCCTCCTCCAGCTATAATTGACCTCGTAAAACTGTTCTAGACAAAGCAGGAGTGCCACAACGTATTCCTTCACCATTCAATTCACTTTGTTATACAATACTTAAAAAGACGTTTATCCAAATTAAGTTAAGACGACTATTTTAAAATTTTGTGGTAATTTCCCAGTTTTGTTTTAAGGTTAACCAAAGGTCTCACTGAAAAAAACAATATATCATTATCTGTAAAATACCTTGTGAGAGATGATCAGGTAAAAAAACGTATTGGATATAAACAAAATATACGTACATTTCTCATAAATATGTCATTATTTACAGGCTAATTATAGATCAATTTGTATCGTAGTTATCCTTTGTCAAAACGATGATTGTCAGGGATGATATCATCTGACGTTTAGGATGCATGAACCAATGAGAACAGTCTATTGACTGAATTGAAATATTTCATTGTTATACTATACGATGGCGAAGATGACGAATATAAAACGAAAAAAGTTCAAATGATAAACATTATCGTAAAGGTGTTTGGGAGGTAACAATGAAGACATCAGCTATTGTGGCAGTTTTGTTGGTTCATATATATCTAGCAAACGGTGAGTTGTACATAATTTTTAAAAGCTATCAATGCTCATGCATTCGCATGGTTGTCATATATACTCACCCTGCACGTGAAAGAATTAGAAAAAAAGATAAAACAATAAATCGCATTAAGTCTGATAACGTTTGTATACTTGACTTTAATACAAAATAAGATTAAAAAACAAAAGACTATAGGTTGAGAAAACAAGGTTTATTTATTGGTTGAATTTTGGTTGACTTATCTTTGAGTAACTCCGAGACTTTTTAGATCGATACTTTGTGTCGTTTATTAGTTTATTAGTTTTGTTCTTTTTTTCTCTTCCATATCGTCTAATACATAGTAATTGCATCGATATGATATAAGCGGTTCACACAGATGCCTCGCTTGAATTTTGTTTAACATGTTTAAGTAGTATATAGTAAAATGAAAATGGAAACATTCTTACAAGAATTTAAGTCTGGTATAATGAGTTTATGTAAACTATGCGAACTTTTCAAAGTTAATGACCCATTACTTAGGGTGCAGGGCCGAATAATATATAAAATACAATTGCATACACAATAATGATTGACTTTCATTCAGTGACATAATTATTAGAACTGCTATATCTCTCGAATATATTTCCTCATATAATCACAAACTTTAATGTGTAAACTATTCAAAGTTTCTAAGTCTATGAACCATGATGGAGAAGACGATCATATAATATCCATTGAAATGAGATCTGCTAATGCTAGTACAACTACACACCAACTATAGCATTGGCTTACCGTAAGTGGTTCCCCTAAACTGATATAATCACAAACTTTAACATGTTAATTTTATAAAAGTGTTGAGTTAATAGAGCATGATTGTGATGGCGGGGCAAAATATTCTCCTTGGAAATTCAATGTGCCAAATCTAATACAAATTAGAATTAAAATCAAAATTAAAATTCTTCTATCAACCTAATCACAGGGTCCACATACAGGCATATAAATCATAACAAATACATATTTACAATATAGAAACTTTCATTCATCCTTTCACACAACTATCATACTGATTGAAATTGATTGATCACAACACAATTATAAACATATTAATGGTGTAATACAAATACATACCTCCACGACAAAACATAATGAAAGGGAGATCTCCATACCTTTAGGCCTTTGAGCTATAACTTCTCCAAAACTAAACAAAACTTAAATTATATGATGTTAAATTTGTCTGTTATTCTTTGAGTGCCTTGTAAATTTTGATCAAGAATCATTTCTTGTGGCGTATATTTTGCTCATTGTTGTGACAATTGCAAATTCCAGAGCCCACATTAGGCTCATTTTAAACCCTTCTCGATCTTAAAATAATTTTGAAACTAATTTCCAGAATCCTTTCACAGATCACAAACCAAATCAACAGCATAAATAAAATTGAACTAAAATCAAACAAAAGTTCAAATCAACAATGCGATATGTTCTTGTCTTGTAGTAATGTAAACACAAAATACCGAGAACTCGTAATTGAATAAACTAATTGGTTTTTCTCGCTAGAATTGTTTCGTGTCTTTTCATGTCGTTGTCTTTTACAGCTGACTATACGGTGTTGTTTTTTTCATGGTTGAAGGTCGTACGGTGACCTAGTTGCTTACTTCCGAGTCATTTGAACTGGCAAACATAACATATCTCCTTATTTTATATAGCACCATCGGGTTCACTAACAACCACAAGCTTGAGAAGACAAATAGATTAAATAGTATTGAATATCTAAACGTAAACTGTTTTGAACAGATATATTTTTGAAATAATTAGAAAGACCTCTACTACATCTATTTTTCTTATATTTAATTGTGAAACTACACCTTTAAATCGAGGCAAGCGCCAGCGGGAAACCGACACCTTCGTCATCAAAACATAGTATTTACAAACAATATTGTATGATTGTAGTAAAACATGCAACAATATACTTGGAAATATTTAAGTCTAATAATTACAATTAACGGTAAAATAACATAAATACTGGTTGTAAACCTATGTAAAAATGGGAAACACATTCTCGAAGTAAATATTGTATTCTAAATTACTTTTCAGCGACTCTTGTTGACGACTTTACTGCATTAGATTTGTGGTAAAAAAAGGATGTATCTTTATGTTTTTTTTTACGAAATTAATAAATGTTAAAGTGTAAAACTATCAGAAACAATAATATTTTTTAAATCGTACATCAGATATAGAAGTTGCTGGACAAAACTTTTAATTAATATTCTACAAAAATGTAGAGCTGCACACCGTCGAATGACGTCCTTAATTCAATAAATGAAACTTAACACCTTGCGCAAAACGTCCTTTATTTCATCAATAAAACTTCAAAACTTGCAAAAGATGTCCTTTAAACAATCAATAAAACTTTATCCCAGGCGAAAGATGCCCATTAAACGACAAATAAAACTTTATCCCAGGCGAAAGATGCCAAATAAACCATACATAAAACTTTATCGCATGCGAAAGATGGCCATTAGACCATCAATAAAACTTTATCCGAAAGATGCCCACCATACCGTTTTTAAAGCTGCATATCTAACGAAAAATATGTTTTGTATGTCTGAAAATAACGTTGGAAACGTTATCATAAGCAATGCATCTAAACTTAAAGTATCATACAAATGAGCCAGAAACTTCTGTCTTCATTTAAATTTATAATATTTTCATTCATTTGTGAACATTTTAATGTATAACGATTTAGTTGAATTGGTATCAATATTTGTAAACTTAATATTTATTTTTGTATACATTTCAGGCCATTCGTATCGGTATAATAGAAACAAGAAAGTTTTCAGATCGAAAGTCAAGAAGCGTGTTCTGAAAGATTTCCTACATAAGAAGTCATCGGATCCATGTCCACCTGTCGCATGTGACCAAGAATTTATTCCTGAGGAATGCCGGATGAAGACGTATTTCTTTAAAAATGGTTACAAATGTCAAGGTTGTGACAATAATAAATGTCCAAAGAAAATTAAGGAATTAAAACGTTTGGTGAAAAAAGAACAAGTACATTCAATAAAAAAACAGAAACATATTAAACCAATTCTACCGAAAACAGTCAAAGTTGTTGAAATCCATAGGGAAAAAGAGAAAAGAAGACCTTCTATCCGAGATCATTTTCCAGATATGTCAGTTCGAACGCCTTTTGATGATATTCACCGTTCAGGTATCTTTCCAGATTCGTCCGTTCGGCTGACCCCAGACAGCATCGGCAGTCTAGGTTCTTTATCTGATTCGTCTCTTCGGCTTCTCCAAGACAGCATTCGAAGACGAGGCTCTTTATCCGATTTGTCCGTTCGGCTGCCCCCAAACAACATTGAAAGTCCAGGTTCCTTTCCTGATTTATCCATTCAACTGTCCCCAGATAACATTGGAAGGCTAGGCTCTGTATCCGATTTATCCGTTCGGCTGCACGAAAACAACATTGCAAGTCCAGGTTCCTTCCCTGATTCATCCATACGAGTGTCCCCAGAGAACATAAGAAATCAAGAATCTTTACTGGATAATTCATTGCTGCTGCGCCAAGACAACATTGTGAGTCGTGGTCCTTTAGTCGATTCATCAATTCGGTTGTTTCAGGATAACGTAGAACCTTTAAGTCCTTTTCCAGGTTCGTCAGTTGGATTACCAGCAGATAGTGTCGGACCAAACGATAACCCAGTTGCTCCACCTGTTGCCCGACCAGTTTCTCCACTACCTGCTGCACGACCAGATTCTCCGCCACCTGCTGCACGACCAGATTTCCCGCCACCTGCTGCACGACCAGATTTCCCGCCACCTGCTGCACTACCAGTTTCTCCACCACCTGCTGCACTACCAGTTTCACCGCCGGTTCAACCAATTATTACATCCGACGTTGGACAACAAAGAAGAGATCCTCTTACAGTTCTTGATGCGCCTCCATCTGACAACGAATTCGTCAACAGAGTTAGATTTGATAGCAGCAATGCAAACTTATTACAACCACCTGCAGATGCTAGTTTAACTGAAAATATTCAAAATCCATTCATAAATCAAAATACAATGCAGAATCCGTTTTTACAAAACATGCCAGCACCATTACAAGGTCAGCAAAATAATAACCTTTGGCCTCAATCTCAAGGTTTTATGCCTCAAAATTTACAAGGTGGAGGCCAATCTCCTGAAATGCAATTGCTTCAAAATCAGCAGATATTGGACCAACTCAGAGGACAACAAGCTGCATTAGAATTTCAAATACAACAATTAAGAGGTCAACAGCAAGCGCCAACATTTGGACAATTCCAAATGCCTCAGTTTCCTATTGGTGGAATACCGCAGACTCAACAAGGTTTACCTAACAATGGGATTTCTCAAAATTTTCAAGGTTTTCCAGCTAATGGAGTAAATCCAAATCTACCGGGACAAGGATTCCCGGGGTTTGTACCACAAGGATTCCCAGGTTTTGGACAAAACACAAATCCTTTTATGGCTGGAATGCAACAACCAGCATCAAACCAAAACTTAGGACTTAACCCAAATGGCCAAATATCTCAGTTTCTAAACCAGTTGCCTCCAGTTCCAGGTATAAATTCTAACTTTCAAGGTCAAGTGCCTTTGAATGGCAACTTTCAAGGCCAAGTACCTTTAAATGGAAATTTTCCAGGTCAAGCTCCTTTAAATGGAAACTTTCTAGGACCTACATTAACCGCCGCTAACCCATTGGCATCTGTCCAAGGATTTGCGAATCAAGGCCAAAGCAATGTGCAAACATCAAATACTGGTGGTTTTGTTGATCCCGTTACAAACCAAGCTTTACCGGCTAGCTCTAATAGTTTACATGGTCCCGTTACTCAACAGTAATTATATTGATTTGTTATTTTATTGACTCTGAATTGACTATTTATTTATTTGGTGAGCAGATTACAAGCAAACATAGAAATCCATACTTTTATTTTATAAAATAAACCTGATTACTTAGTTTTAGTTTTTAATCTTATTAATCGGCCCTCAATGCACTTCAACTTCGTACTATACTTGGCTTTTAATTATTTGAATTCGAGAGTCACTGATTAGTCGTTGAGTTGACGAAATGCACACCTGGCGTACAAAATTAAAAGGCTGGTATTTTTGATGAGTTTTTTCAATATGAAAATAACGAATCATTTCACAGGTGTGTGTGTGTATTATAATGACAGGTTTCGAGTAAGCAAGCAACGCTTGTTTAAATTCAATAGACAACAGGGAACACCGTGTAAAGCACAAACCTATAAAAGTTACATTGACAAAATGTATACAAACAACAAATTAAAAACTTAGACAATACAGATGTCTTTTATTATGGAATTGAACTGCCTTCTTGGTATCTTGCCCTATTTCTTCTGGACAATACTTACTGAAAATAAGCATTTCAAGTATTCTAATAATCTCTACTGTAAACTTCTGTCAGCATTGGTGTTAAATGCTTGATTGTACATTTAATTTGCTATTACGTATAACTCTTTGTTTTAGTTTTCCTTATTACAATATTCAAATTGCAACCACATAAATATGATGCTATTTCACGAAAAAGATGAATTTTATTGAATATGACTGTTGCTATTTTTTAGACACTATATATACGCTGTGCATGAAATAGGAAAATAATAAGGCTGAACATGCACTAAATATTTATATTCATTATGAATAAACACATTTTGTCGATTGAGACATCAAATTGTTCTAAAATGTTCTCTCTCTCTATATATATATATCGAACTGAACTTTAAAGAATTGATAGAACAACTTAAGCTAGGGCTATTGGTTCCTTGAAACTGACAGAAAGAATCGGACAGCAGTGTGTTAGCGGATGATGCGAGCACAATTTAAAAGTATTTCTTCAAACGATAAAGGTAGCACAATCATTCATTGAAATTAAAAACTTGTTATACAAAACTTTCATAAAACAGTTATAAAACGGATTGGTACTTACATGAGAAACACGACGGGTACCATATGTGGAGCAGGATCTGCTTACCCTTCCGGAGCACCTGATACCACCCTCGGTTTTTTGGTAGGATTCATGTTGCTTAGTCTTTAGTTTTCTATGTTGTGTTCTGTCTACTGTTATTTGTTATGTGGTATTTTTCTCTTTTTTGCCATGGCGTTGTCAGTTTATTTTCGACTCGTGAGTTTGACTGTCCCTTTGGTATCTTTCTACTTTGTTTTACATTTTGCTGCATATTGAAAAAAAAAAGTAACACACACATAAGCTGATGCTCTTTCCATGAACCAATGTTTAGAGGGTTCCAAATAGTCTTTAGCATAGTACAATCTTTCAAAACCATTATCACGGGAATTTTTAATACCAAATACTTTGTTTGCGTAAATATAACAAATTCAAAGATATGTCTTTTCAAGGTTAGAAAATAATAGAATATATGTATAAGGAAGGTTATACGTTAAAAGATATAACTATGTAGAACGGATAATCTATACATTAGACTAGATGCTGGTCTTCAAGAAAATAAGGTTAAAATCACTCTTAAGAAAGTTCTAAAGTACTTTTGTTTGGTAAACAATACATTCAAACTGAATATCAATGATTGTCTTTATGAACAAACATTTCATAGTAAAAAAGTATCAAATTTGAAAAATTTGAAATGATTTTAGGATTTTTGTTGTTGAAAAATAACAGCCTTTACGTACATATTAATGAATAATGTATATTACACCAACAATATTTTGAGCCACCACAGAGGACCCCGCGCAATCAAATAAGTAAATAATGATGTCAATAAGAACTAAACAGACTTTCATAATTCTTCAGGGTTACCCATTCAACACTGTAAGTAGATCTTTATTTTTTTTTTAATATCGGTATCAGTAAATTAAAACCAAACTAAAACCTGTTATACACATAAGAGGTCCTACAATCTGTCGATACCTATAGTTTGGCATTGCACAAGGTCATTTACATGTAACACGATACCAAATGACGTTACGTTACGTCATGAGTTATCGTTCCTGGCGTTATTGAACAACGTGCATTGATCTATACAAGTAATACAGCAGGTTCTGCCATGTTTCTGTTGGTCTATAGGATAAAACAATATATGAACTCTATGACCTCTAATATTTAGTAAACATTAATAATTTTGATTTGCAGAATTGCCAAATACTGAAAGATTTGAATGAAAAGCATTATTCGCACTTCGTCGACCTCTTCCCTTTATTCTTATGCTTTACACACGAGTATTTACTTTTTAAGTTTTCTGTTTCTATTGATAAGTAAGCATTTGTACAATATCATGCATAGCAGATCTAGATTGAGTGTTTTTTGCAATAAATTGTTACTTATGATGCACGCCATTCCCGATGAAATTAGAAATCCAAATTATAGAAACGCGTTTAACCCTGTCATATTCTGTATGTGCCTGTCCAAAGTCAGGAGCCTGTAACTTAGTGGTTTTCGTTTGCTGATGTATATTATATTTGCTATTAGAATATTGATTTGTACATTTGTCATTTTGGGCCCTTTTATAGCTTACTATACGGTATGGATTTTGCTCATTGTTGAAGGCCGTACCGTAACCTATAGTTATGAACTTTAATTTACGTCAGTTGGTTTCTGGTGCACAGTTGTCTCATTGGCAATCATACCATATCTTCTTATTTTTATAATTATTCGATATTAACATGTCTAAAGCAGAAAGTTGATGAACCAGGGTTATGTCAAAGAACGCTCGTCCTTTTTCTGAAAAAAAAATTCATTGGAAGATACTGAGACCTTGTTGATAAATATTCCGTATCAACTTCACAAATAATACATGATGGTATGGAAGTATAGATTCTAGGTACTGACGTTGTTTATCATCTGAATTACGTGTTATTGTGCTCTTTTTATTTGTCTTTGTATATTTTTAACCTTTACTGTTTAGTCCATGTTTGGTAATATACTTTTGACGTGCCTCGGTATTTATACTATGTGCTATGTTCATTTAAGTATTCTTGTCTTTTATTTTTAAGGAATGACTGTAATATTTTTTCTGTCTATGAAGAAATAACATCAAGAATGTGGTGCACACTGAATAAACCGCGTAGCGGGTTATTTTAAAGTGTGCACCACATTTTTTATGCTAATATTTCGAATAGACAGAAAAAATATTACAGTCATTTCTTATAATTTAATTCTAAATTCCATTTTAAACCGGAGTAAACCATGAAAAAACGTTGATGACGTCACGGTCACATGACAAAATTATGTCTATGAGCTGATAAACAAAACAACGTCAGCCAATCAGAAGACGCGTTACATCCAAAATTAAATTATTCTCTCATGTACTTTGTCTATAGAGTGCCTTTATGCCATTTTGTGTTTCTTTGTTGAAATATAATTATTTGTTTTTAATTAAAGTGATTAAGATTATCAAACAATGTTGACTGCTGTAACCCAATTATTGACATTTTTGCCTATAATGTCTGTTTGTTTTGCTCAGACATTGTTGTCAATATAATGGAATTCTATGCGACGGTCATAAAAGTGAGAAGTTTAGCTAGCTATAAAACCAGGTTTAATCCACCATTTTCTACATAAGGAAATGCCTATACCAAGTCAGGAATATGACAGTTGTTTTCCATTCGTTTGATGTGTTTGTGCTTTTGATTTTGCCATTTGCTAAAGGACTTTCCGTTTTGATTTTTCGGTATTTTTGTTATTTTACTTTTAAACTATCTGAAAGTAGAAATATTCTGATACACCAATGGGTTTTCAGAAAGAGCTGATACAGTATGCACACGAATAGCTAAATTGTACCCAGTTTGTTACCATGACTTTCAATCTACGGTTTTGTCATTGTTCGGAAAGACCGATAAATAGTGGTGAATAATCATTCCTAGTTTCATTGCCAATTTTGCCAGGGGTAGCCGTTTAAAGTTAGAGATGAACGAATTTTGTACATATGCAAAAGTTGAACTAAAATTTGAGCCATGATTTTGCTGTACAGTTTCTTCCTTGTGCGCAATACACCACCCAGTATATATAGTGGTGAATTATTACGGAAAGTTTCATCGACAAACTTTAAATTGATTGAAAGCTATAGATTGGAAACAAATGCGATATGCTGATTTTTTTTTATAGACGGGACCTAATTACTGAAGAATATGAGTGCATTTCTTTCTAACACAAACGATGCAAACGGCTAAGCGCGCACATGTTTTGATCATTTGTTTCTAACATACGTTTGCAAAGTTTACATAAACTTTGACAAACTATGCACTCGCTAAAAATGCGTCTACAGTTTGTCGTTCATCGTTTGTTAGTACAAACGCTACATTTGTTTCTAACTTCAACCTGATTAAACGATGTATTTGTTTCTACGTTTGCAAAAAGTCTGTTTACCAACAACATGTGCATGCATTATTGGAAGTTCAAACAGGGTCAGTAAACACTGATTTAAAGATGTATTTGTTTCTACTTTTGTAGCGTTTAGAAAACAACAACAAACGCCACACAACGTTTACAAAATTTGGTTAGAAAGAAATGCACCCTATATTATCCATATGGCTTTATTCTAGGTACAGGGATTTGAAAACTTAAGAATCAATTGCTTGAAAAATGTCTATGCATTTGTTGTCGGTATATATGTCTAATGTATTAGAAATAGCAAGAATGTCATAATGCATATACTGAAGTGTCTTTAAAATGTGTGGTTTAAAAAAAAATATTGAGACATAAAGACGTTTTTATGCATAACTTGGAAAAACAGGTGAGGAATATAACATTATAAGAGTTGAAAACGTGAGACACGAACATTCTTAAAAACTATTGTGTTTAATAAATAAAGTGATGATAATTGAACTTTTTCAAGCTATTGCGTACATAC